GAAGAACTGCCTTCTGTCCATCATCTTAGTTCTGATGACATTGAAGCCGAACACTTTTACAAAACCACTACTACTCGGCTCGCATCTGGACGATTTATGGTGAGACTTCCATTCCGACAACCATCTCCTCAGCTTGGTGACTCAAAGACATTCGCTCTGCAACGGTTCAAGACTCTAGAACAACGACTGAGTAAAAATCCGGATCTTCGTCAACAATATGTTGAATTCATGCAGGACTACTTGTCTACTGGACACATGGAACTAATCCCTCCGTCAACCATTGACACTCCGCGTAACTATTACATTCCTCATCACTGCATATTGAGACCAGACAGTAAGACGACAAAACTTCGTGTCGTGTTCAATGCGTCTGCTCAAACAACCACGGGTAAATCACTCAATGAGAGCATGTACACTGGACCGAAACTCCAGCCAGACATTCGAATTGTATTGTTACGAGCCCGTCTAAGGAAGTATTTGTTTATTACAGATATAAAACAAATGTATCGGCAAATACTCGTCCATCCTGATGATAGAGATTATCAACGGATATTATGGCGATTTTCACCTACTTCGAAAATGGAAGAATATCGTCTCTGCACCGTGACATATGGCACCTCAGCAGCTCCATTCCAAGCTTTACGCACAATTCGTGAGTTGGCAAAAATTGATGGTGCTCGGTCGACCCGTGCTGCTGCAGTTCTGCTTAATGATACATTTGTTGACGATGTCCTCACTGGGGCCAATTCCGTACAAGAAGCCCTTGAATGTCAAAAGGAACTCATTCAACTGTGTTCGCGTGCACAATTCGAACTCCGCAAATGGGCAAGCAACTGCAGTGAACTCCTACATGCCGTTTCTGAGGACACTCGTGCAATGTCTCCGTTAGTGCTCTTTGACGCTAGTGAAGAGCCCGCCTTGAAGCTCCTTGGCCTCAACTGGGACCCAGCATCTGACACGTTTTTATTCAAAACCCATTTAATGGCAAAAGGTCCAACAAAACGCTCAATACTTTAAGACATTGCAAGGGTATTCGACCCATTAGGACTTTTATCACCGATCACTATGTTCACAAAACATCTAATGCAACGACTCTGGACTGATGGTATTGGTTGGGATGATCCTGTTTCTGGTGACATCGAACGGCTCTGGTCCCGATATCATTCTGAGCTTTATCAAATCACAGACCTCTCGATTCGTCGCCGATTAACTTACGACGATGCCTGCTCTATACAACTCCATGCGTTTTCTGACAGTTCAGAGAAAGGATATGCTGCTGCAGTCTATTTGAGAGTCGAGACCCCAACAACAGTGCAGTGTCATCTGGTTGCTGGAAAATCGAAAGTAGCTCCTTTGAAACGATGCACAATTCCAAGACTCGAATTGTGCGGAGCCGTTTTAGCGGCCAGGCTATTAAATTTTGTCATCAATACCTACGCCGGTCGTCTTAGAA